AAAAAAAAGAAGAGGAGATTCCGCTGCGAATGGATTTCGCAAGGAGATCGGAGAAGGAGTCCGAGAGGTTGGAAGGAGCGGTGTATTTGGCAGAGAGGCCATGAAGTTGGGAATCCTGGAGGGTGGACGCGGAAGCGGGAAGCGGCGATAGCCGAGGTGGAGTCGGATTGCATGATAGCAGGATCATTCCAGGAGTTGGAGCGGGGAAGGATGGAAGTGGAAGATCTTGAGTGTGGACGGCCGAGGCCCGAGGAGACCCTGAAGAAGAAGGGTCTGGGCGATGGCGGCCGTCGGAGAAAGAGAGGGGATCGTTGTCGGTCATGGGAAGAAAGACGGAAGAAAGGGGCGACAAAGATGAAGAGCAAAGACGGAACGGGACGAGATGTCGGATAGCGATGAGGCAAGGCAGGAAAACGAGGCTTTGTACATCAACTGTTGTTGGTGTACAAAGACAAGAGAATAAGCACTTGGTGCTTGTTATCTTGTTGGTGCCAGCTCATCCAATGCCAATGCTGGGTGAGCAGGCACCACCTACAGTTACCTGCCGGTCATGCTGGCTTTAAGGTTGTGGACCCTCATTTGCTCTGCTACTGGTGCTTCACTATGACTGGAGTTAGTCTCTGCCGGATCGCAGGTCGCTGTTTAGCTCTGTTTTGCTTACATGTATTTTGCCACAACCTGCATCCAGCCCGTAAATTCTTATCCCAGGCACAGTCACGTTCTTACATGTACAGCTCATTATGTACAGATAGCTACAGATGCATCCTTAGTTCTTTACTTAGGCCCCTTCCCGAACTGTTCAAAGAACGCCCACTAGAACAGAGTGGGGTATCGTAGACATATTGTACTCCATGAGACAGTGTGAGACTGATTGTAAAAGCTCTGTCCAGGATTCTACGAACTCCGCATGTGCCACTCGATGTAAACCTTGTTAATTCCGATCTTTTAAATCTCAATTTGATCGAAAACGTTTTCACGTTTTCTCTAACTCACTTTGGATGCTGCTGACAATCTGAGTCTGACGTGGTTTACCTTTGATGCAGCAAGGAACGCCATGCACGAATATGACCTGCCACGCAAGTTTTGACCGGTATCCATGAACCAAAGAGAGTCGCCAAGAGAACCAGTGGGAAGGCTGAAGTGGAGCTGCTGCAGCCTGCAGGAGAGATGTTGGTGCTGGGATGACTGCTCTATCGGCAATGCGCTCAACGATCTCACAATTTTGGCAAGCACTTGAGCTGAGCAATTGATCTTTTGAGCATAGCTACGAAGCAAGACAATCCGACACAACCATGAGACAACACTCTGAACTTCGCTCTTCTGCTCCCACCAAGCGAGTAAGTTTTGGGGACAGCAAAGAATTTAACTACAATACCACAAGAACTGAAGACGAGAGGCGGGCGAGCTGGTACTCCAATCAGCAATTCGTGGAAATGAGAGGTCAAGCGTACGGTCTGGCCAAGACAGCTGTTCTTCTCGGAGAATTCGAGAGATTGAATGGAAATACTCTGCGAGGTCTGGAGAAGATTATCCCCAACAAGGCTACCAATCCCAAGAGACGGCGAAACACGATCCGCAGCATTGTGGAGCTTCACCAAATGGAGGTTAACCCACCAGCAACAGGCAAGGCAGAAGGAATCAAAGCTACACTTGAAAAGTATGTGCAAAAGCACGTTGTAGCTGCTCTCAAGAGAGCAAGAGATCGTGCACTGGAGGACGAGCGAGAAGCCAACAAGATCTACTATGAGGGCACCAACGAATCCTTCAAGAACGTGGCTTTGCAAGAATCTCTCAAGGCAATTCCCAGCAGAAGCCCTGCCGCTTAGATCTCACGATCCGGGCTCCAACTCCAGACTCCATCAGCCTCCATGCAGATCACTCCTTTGCCTATAAGACCGATGCACAGAATTGTAGAAACACAAACCTTGTCTATAAAAGCAAACCTTTTGATACATTATAAGACCGTAACACCACTGTATTGAACATACTTTTGTCTGGCAGGTAGCTTGTGGGTCGCCTCAAACAAAACAGGAAGCGCAACCTAGGTACAGATAAATGTAGTAGGAACTCTCAAAAGTAGTATACTAGCTAGTACCGTATAAGGACACCACAACGAATGGGAGAGACCTTTGGGTTGATGCCGGTGCAACAGTGCCCGACCGCTGCTTCTGAGTTAGTCTGCGTTTGACGGACTTTTTAGCAAGTCGAATGATTCAATCTACTAGAATACTGAGATCTATTTTCTGAGGCCGGTCTCTAACGGAGCGACTAAAGTAGCGACTAAAGGAGTACTTTAGCACCTTGTTTAGTCGCAGATTTAGTCCGTACCCTTTAGTCACGGAGGTGTCTACCCGCCACGGACTAAATCTTGAACTATCCAGTTTAGTCGATATTTTAGTACAAACTTTAAGCAAAACGTTATCTACCACGATCGACTAAACGTTTCGACTAACCAACGTTTTGGATTTCGTTGGTTCATTTCGTTGGTTCATTTCGCTAGCTAGCTAGCGAAACTCATCATCATTTCGCTAGCTAGCAACCTCTTGTTCTTTATTGTTATTGTTACTGCACTGATAGACCATGGCCAACACCAAGAAGAAGGCTAGTGAAGAGGCGGAGGTTCCCTCTGGGGAGGAAGAAGAGGAAGAGGAGGTATCGCTGAAAGAACGAGAGGAAGAAGCCTCTGCTGATGGCGATGATGATGATGATAATAAGGATGATGAGAGTATGGACACTGCAGCCCTTGGAAAGGAGCTTTTGGATAGAGTCAGTAAACCATTGAGGAGATCTCCTCGGCGTAAGACCGTCGCCAAGGTTACCACCAAGCCTGCCACCGCCAAGAAGAGACCTCCTTGCGGCAAAGGCGGCAAAGGCGGCAAAGGCAGCAACAACAATAAGAAAAAGAAAGTCAAGAAGACCACAGCTGTCGCTGATGATGACGAGGGTGAGGGCAAGTCCCAGCGCAAGCGTGGTTCGAATTTTGAGGATTTTGAGGATCAAATTTTGAGGATTTTGAGGATCAACGATTGTGCCGTGCCTTCATCAGTGCCACACAGAGCATGAAGGGCACTGGTATGAAGAGAGGAGACTTCTGGAAGAATCGAGTTGCTCCAAAATACAACAAACTGCTTGACCAAGAGTCTGAACCTGATAACGAAGGTGACACTATCTATGTAACATGAGCCGCTGACCAGCTCCGTCGCCGTTGGAATTTGATTGCGGGGCGCTGCCGAAAATTCATGGCTTGTTACCGTCGGGCCCATGCCGAGCACCGTACTGGATTCAATTCAGAGGAAGACTACATTGATTTTGCCGTGGAGCTATACAATGAGGAGAATAATGAAGCTTTCAATCATCGCAATTGCATTCCCCACTTGACCGAGTGGCCCGTCTTTGATCCCCATATCACCGAGACAGAAGCTGATCGCAGAATGGATGAGTTGAATGCTGAGCTAAGTGGTGTTGACGAGAGCAAGCCGAAAGCCAACAATACCCGCGATCCAATGGGTTCTATGCATACCCGACCCACTGGCAAAAATACGACAAAATTCAACCTGGCTCTTTCCAACTCGGTGGCTTCGAGCAACCAGGAACGCAATCAACATTTGGAGTCCATTGCCTTTTCCCAGCAGATGCTCTCTGAGGGAGTAGTCCGCCCACCGTGGAAAAATGAAGTCCAAGATGAAACGGGTGGAGCTTTTGATGAAGTTTGGCAAGATGATGGAGGCCGAAAATTTGTTGGAAGAAACAACAGCTGACGAAAAAGCATTCGAGGAACGGCAGAATCAATTGCGGGGTGAGCGAGAACAGCAACAGGCAACCAAAAAACCAGCGCCACCAAAGCCTACTCCTCCAACTGTAGTTGAAGAGGGCAAGAGCCCTGACAGCCCTGATTCCTCCATGACAGATCCCGCGGCTGCCACTGCCGCGGCTGCTACTACTGCCACTGCCGCGGCTACTACCGCCAATGGAGAAGTAAGTGAAAAAGGAGTGGCCGATGACAATTCCGACTCGTCCTAATGCCGCCACCGTATATCGACAGGATGACAATAGTGGAACATGGAGCCATCCAAAAAACTATACCGAGGTTTAATTCAATAATTCAATAACTATAGTTTGTGTCCAGTTTTAAATTCTACAAGAGCCACGTGTAGACGCTCATGCTCTGTGATATCCATCAGCGAATGCCACTGTTGCCTACGAATCATAGTATCTCGAACACTCATTGGTTGTTCCTCCCAACCAATCTCGGGTGGCTCCTCTACTAGTTTTTGGACGGTTTGCCTGTCAGCCGGCACATCAATGACAATTTCTCGATCAACTGTAGTGACACTTGGATCGTACTTGGCCCTCACATCTCCCATGACATGATCCACAACACACATGTTGTGGAGAATGAGGCAGGTGTTGACACGGTTTCCAATTTTGCGCAATTCCAAATCCAGGAATGGACGAGCCATATATTGGAATTTGGCCTGAATCACACCGTATGCCCGTTCAATGTCCTTCCTAGCCGCCTCCTGCCAAGCGGAATATTGTTTCTCCCAATCCAAAATTGGCTCGGATAAAGTCTTGACAAAACGGGAGTATTCGACCAAAATAAACATCTGTGGAAATTCTTCATCGCCAATGTCAAAAGGCACGACACCACCAATAGTCTCGAGATCGGTAAGCTTCCCGCTGAGCATGTTTTCCAGCAGAGGCGACATGTCAAAAATTGTTATGTCGTTGAGTGTTCCGGCATAGCCGAACGAAGCATGCCAGAAGAATAAATTGTAATCGCACATTGCCTCTAGAACCAGGGTAGGGACCTTTTTCGCTCCTTGGAAATGCAATACACGGCTCTTAGCCTTATTCGCGACTCGATCCTAGATAGGGTTTGAGTTCGACTCATGACTGAGTCTCTCGTGAATAGTCATTTGAG